GTTGCTTCTGTTGCTCTTATATCTAAACCTTATTTCAATTTTGTATGTTTATGAAAGAATCCTGTCAATTTGGAACCAAATTTAAATCTTAAAATGATTTTAGACTGTGATACAATTAAATGATTCAATGTTTTTTGTCCTTTATGCTTTCAAAAAATAGTGAATTTACACTTAACTGTCCTTGATTGAACATTAGATATGCATGAGAGGTAGAGCTAACATTGTAAGAATGTGTCTAAAATTAGACTTGATAAATAACAATGACTTGTTTGGAAAAAAGAACGTGATCACTCTTTCCAATCTCCCTCTCCATTCTGTATGGCACAAATACACTTCTGACAAAGGTTTCAAAACAAAAATAACAATATGAGCACATTAATGTCATTAAAGCAGATTTTATATCAATGCCAGATGACTTAACGTAATCGAACACAATGTCCTAGTTAGCACAAAACATGCTACCTTACAAGTCACGACTGAATCTAGTATTCACAAAGTTAACTGAGGTAAGAAATCACGTGGTGAATTATAATATTCAACAAGTCACAATCCTTGGTTACAACACAGAGAAGGAATGTAAGAAGAAGCAGTTTTTTCTCTTTTTAACCATGAGCGCATATTTGTCTATTAATCTCCTTTTGACACATTGTTATTTATGCAAATATACAACTACTGTTAAACGTAGAACAATAGACAAACAAGCGCTGACTATGTATAAAGTCAGTAAAAAAAGAAAGTGGGCGTCCTCATTATCGAACGGAGATTCAAGAAATTGTGATGACCCCTGCCTTTGAAAACAGATTCAAACTTCGTAAATACACACTTTTATTAAACGTAATTACATAAAGTTGTAGATTGGATGTTGACCATTCTTGCAATGAAAAGAAAAATGCTTGTGTTGAAAGTTTATTTTGTCGCAAATTTCGCATGACCTTAAGTGCAGTCATCCTTGGTTTTAAATTACGCATTGAATTTGATAACAGATTCAAAAACAAATATTTCCTCACATCATGAGAGAAGCTAACTGGAATACAGTCACTAATTGACAATGTCCGAGACACGTCAAAAAAATTGCTCCAGCATTTCCGAGAAATAGCTGTTGACTAGCGAATTGTGGCCTCAAAATACAAGTACTATTGAATACGGCAGTATGTGAAAGACAACCCAGTCCGATCTTGGATTAAACTCTGGGTTGTAGCTTGTAAAATGACTGGTTATACTTACGATTTTTTTTTGTATATTCAGGCAAGAAGAATACAGTATTTACAGACAAAGCAAAAGGTCTTGCATTATATGCTACTGTGCCAATATGTAAATCTTTTCTTCATCAAGGTTACAAGGTTCTTATATTTCATAAGCACTTGACAAAGAAGTTACAAAAGAGAGAGAATAAAAGCATTATAATGTTACCCTGTTATAAGAGAGTTCCTTGAAGAAAATTCTACAGACACTCAAGCCAACTTCAAAGTCCATCATCACTCAAAGCGCCTTCGTGTCCCCCCAAAAAACTGTAAATAACTATAAAAAGGTGCTACCGATATTATTATTTTGAATTCAGTACGGTGGGTGATCGGAATCATTTTTTTTTTGCTTCACATGTGAGATCTCTGTTCTTTAAATGATTCTGAAAGCATCATATTTTGTCTGTAGTTTACTGTTTTCTGTTACTGTTCATAAAGTTTATACATTTTACTTCTTTTAATAACCCTAGTATTTCTATATTTTTTTTTTTTTATAATTTATTGCGTATTACTCAGAGATTGGCTGACCCCCAACACACCCTGAGACAGGACCACGCAAATCAGCACATAATATCTTTAAGGATTTCCCAAGCCCATTATTTGCACTGTGAGCGCCCGACCATGAAAATTGTGTGCAAATGTGACATTCCTTGGGGGTAGTGAACGCCTAAGACGCCGATTTAACCTCTCAACTCTATGTATTGCTATTTAGAATGGATTTGTGTAGAAAGAACATAGAATACCGTTTATTGACATAGGCTCTGAGAATCCTTGCATTGGTCTAAGGCATTCGGAAGTTTTCATCAGGGCAGGCACTTTAAATAAGCTTATTCCTCTTACCTGATACCACTCTTGGCACTAACAGTCGAGTCCTACCAGTCAAACCATTCAAAACGTTGTTTACCTATTCTTTTGTGTGTTGTATATACCCGTGTTTTACCACGTACAATTGAGTGATTCGTCATCACCTTATACTAATAAGGTAGGCTACTCTTTAGTAAAATCTCCTATTTTACAACATTGGCATCGCCGGGCCATTATGACTGTATGACTGAACGGCACACAGAATTGTGTATGACGTCAGAAAAGCACACACAACTTGAACGCAACAATATATGTGACGTTTCTATGATCACTACAATAAAAATGGGGCTGGCGGTAAAAATTAACGAGTTAAAATTGCAATTTTTATTACTGTAAGTAAAACTAATATTTTATATATTTTTTTGTTTGTAGTAAATTATGGATGTCGTGATTCTTGAGACAGGGCGGTCAAAGATGTGGATACGAAACTACAAATTCTGAAATTCAGCTACAGCTTGATTAACGTATTGGAAAATCAAGAAAGAATAATGCAGGAAGACAAACAAACAGCTATAGAAAAGAAAGAAAAAGGATGAGTGAGAGTATCAAGGAGGAGGAAAAGGAAATTCTGAGAAAGCCACTCTTAGATTTTGGCGACGGACCGGTGACACATTTTGAAGAAAATTAGAAATACTAAAGTTTCCCTTCAATTGGGCTGAGAAAGTAGAAGGGGAAGAGAGAAGAACAAAGGGAACTTCCATTCTAAACCAGTCTTTCCAACAAGAGTATTACGGCGTGCTTTTAGCCGCCTGGGAATTAGCTCTGGGGATTGCCTTATGCCCAGCAATACCTTTGTCCTTGGCCCTTTGGATGATCCTTATTGACCTTTAAAATACAAGGTTGAGGTTATACAATGTTTATTGTCTCGTGTCCCGAGTGTAAGTGAAGTATATTACAACATAATAAAGATCAATTAATTTACAAGATGTTATTGATTGATATTAATGTACAAACATGAAATATTTATATTGAATTAATTTATCAAGTACTTAAATTTATACTAAAGAAACAATACAGTGGTCCGTCATTGAACATTGGCGGCCATATTGAAAACTTACTTCCGGTTGCATTTCCGGTGCTAAAATTACACAAAAGTTATGGCGTCCGATACAATTTTAAAAGTGACATCATTTTAACAAAGTAAAATGGAACAAAATGTTATAGAAGGAATATAGAACACTATAGTTAACTGTAATAATAATGCGGCGAAGTACGATATTTATTTCCTGACTTAGTTAACCTTTTAAAGGAATTTATACCTAATAATATGATGACCAATAATTAATCTTTTTACAGTAAATATGTATATCCTAACTTTAATTCACAATTAATAATTCTAACTGTTAATTTAGAATAAAACTGAATTCATTACTAAGAATGCTCAATATTTGTTATAAATATAAATAAGTAAATGTTTCAATACTGACCTTTAGAATACGACAAGGTTGAGGTTATACAATGTTTATTGTCTCGTGTCCCGAGCGTAAGTGACGGGAGGGAGACGGGAGAACACTTAAACCTTCAACCTGTCCTTTGAGAGGTCACTCAAGGGGAATTATATTTAATTATAATTGTCATTATTAGAATTTAATTGATATCCCTAACGGAGCCTCACAGGGATAGCGTCCCTTATTACCTAGAGTTTGATTTAACTTGCCGAAGAGTTTCTCACTTATTCTGGCATCTATTGTTAAGAGTTAATCCCGATGTGATAGTAATTAACTCAAATACGTATGTTCTGACAGATGAATAGATAGACAGGCAAATGTTTATATTACAAATTAACTTTACCATTGATAATTGCCGATATGTGAGAAAGTATTACTTAAAATAAATAGTAACATATGTTTGATCAAGAAATAAAGAGAACCTATGCGTGAATGTTGATCCGAACAAATTAAACTAATTTGTTTATTTAGCAGGTATACTTAATTCTACATATTTCCTATTTTCAAAATCATAACTTTTAAATAAAAATTGCTTAAAATTTAGCTAGAAGAATTAAATAAATATTGATTATCATTGATTTATATAAAATTACGTCAGAATTCAAAACATTAAAATGTGCACCGTCACACTACCCCCTTCTTCGCCTAACTTCAGTCCTCTGAAGTAAAAAAAAAAATGAATGTAAGAAAAAAAAAAACAAATCAAATACATAACTACAAAAAAAAAACTAATCATAATATACACATGATAAAGAAAAAAAATAAAGTACAAATTGATTGTAAATGAAGACAGTGAAACACACACACACACAAATAATACAAACTAAATCTACTTATGACAAAAGGAATAATTGGAGAACCTACAGCAAAGACAAGCAACACACTATACCATAGTAGAAAAACACACATATATTGTTAATACACATTAATTCAAAGTTAAACAAACACCTTTTATGGAACATAATCATTGTCACAACAAAGGTCTTTAGGAACAGTTATCCGGTGAAGATGTTTTCACATTCAACGAATGTTTGTTAATTTTGCACACGCTAATAATTTCCAAAGTGGAGTCCAATACACTAAAGTCATTCACGCGAATCGGTTACAGTTCTGCACAATGGCATATGGCGTCTATTGGAATTGGTCCTTATTGACGTTAAGGTAAATCAGTCACGTGAACGGACAGGAAAAGGATGTGCCATCACTTGAGGTGTTTGTGTGTGTTGCTGCCTGCTGTTTCCTAGGTCTCTTTACATCAGTTCTTGCAATACATATGGACTATGAAAAACAAAGAAAAACCACACAGAAAAGAGGAAAAACAAAGAAAAACCACACAGAAAAGAGGCAACAATATTCAACATATATACAATACAAAAAAAAAATACATACATGTAGAAGGTATTAAAATACCTTTAACCTCAAAAGAAGCTATGGACAAGAAAAAAAATGATAATCGAGAATGGCTCTAATTTGATAAGGCGTAGTAGTAATTATCATGAATCAAGACCAAATATGCACAAAAAGGTTGATTAAGAATTTTGCGGAGTTTGTAAGCTTGCCAATACGACAGAGAAAGTGTAGATTTGACTTGAATTTCTTTTGAAGTGAGTTTGTTTTTGATTGATAAATTATCCCATTCTAAAGTCAAAATTGGCCTAATGTACCCTGAAATTTGAATGTTACTTACATCTGATGGGGGAGTGATTTCCCAATAGGAAGGACACAAAGACAAGAACGTTACAGGAATGAAAGTGCACAAGGAACCTGACGTAACTTCAAGAACAATTTTGCAATTGTTATTACGATTTCTTAAGTACTTTATAACTGATATCATAATAAATAAGGTTGAAATTGAAACCATAAGAAAAATGCCGTGATCCCAAGTTAAGATGTTTTGAATATAATCTGACATTGAAGGCTCTTCTTCAACATTGATAGTTTCAGGTCTGTATCTAAAAACTGGGACAGATGAAGCTTTGACTGACGTGGCTTTAGATGCTAACAACAATGCTGCTGACAAAGCTCTAAGTTTATAAACTAAATATCCAATGGCAACTGCACAAAGGATTGATAAACATAAAGAAACAATGGTTAAAACATTGAAAGTATCAATATCTGTTTCTGGCACAGTGAGATCACCATTTGCAAGTGGTTCAGCTAATGACTGGAAAATTATAGCATCACGTTTTGAAGCTTTAAACATTTTCTTCAAACTTAAATGTTCTTTTTGATCCTTAGCCAATATTGTAGACATTGAGTCATTATAAAATCGAAAAGCAGGAATATCTATGATAGCTTCCTCTGGAAACATTGTATATCCGGAGATTCCCGTTATGGAAGATGCATTAAAGAATTGCTGCAAAAGTGCAAGGTTAACAGGGTGGTAATAAGTAGGCCTTGGTTGGGGTTTCTTATTACAAGCTGTGAGGCGTGCAGGGAAATATAAATCACCTGTTGCTAGTGAGCATTAGCAAGGGACTTTGATTAAACAGAATTTGCAACCTGGTACTTGCCTAACTTTGTTTTGACACTTGTATGAAATATTTTGACTATTGTAAACAAGAACCGAAGACTTATCTAATTCTATGAGTTTGGGCAGTAAGCGTTCTTGAACAAATCTAAAATTGCATGTTTCGTTGACAGCTTCCTTATTGTTGTTAAAAAGTGACATGAGACAAGACTTGTTAGAAGTCGATGTATAAGCAATTGTTTGAAAACAATGTTTAAGAGTGTCACCTACACATGAATTAATAATAGAGTCACTGATAGCAACGAAATAGTCATGCTTGTTAGAAATGGCAATGTTATCTGGCAAATTTAGTAATTCCGTTGCATGGTTAGACGAAGCATTAATAGGAACGGGTAGTGATATTATATTATACAAGGTAAATGGCAATCGAAAGGTTGACAAAGGTATTTTTACCGTAATGTAGAGAGTGGAACGGTGAAGTGCGAAAAAGAACTTAGAAAAAGTATAATGCACTTGTGGGTCAGTTGAAGAAACAAACATGCGTCGATAGTTCTTTGTTAGTATGTTTTGGATGTCATGCAGGGTTTTCTGTAAGAGCTTGGGAGTTATGAGGATTGGTGAGAGATTACCCTGAACTAATGTTTGAACACCAAGTTTAAATTGTTCCAACTGTGTTTCTAAAGTTTCAGCATTACTTAATTGATTGACCAAAAATGTGGGGACCGTGTCAATAGCATTGCTAAGTAAAGTGACATCTTTCTCTAAGGAATTACTTAATGACATTAATGCATTATGATTTTGTTCAAGACCCAATACCATATTGTCTAATCTACGAGTTACTTCTGCTGTAAATGAAGAAAAATGACGTCCATGTCGTGCTAAAGCTTCTGTAACCTTGTTGACTGTAGAAGTAATTCGATTAATGTGTTGAGCCAAAATGTTAACATCATCAACAGTGGCTAAACCAAAAATAGATTTGTACATAGTTCCTACAAAACCCAATAAAGCTTTAGGAGATTTTCCTGATCTTGTTTCTTTCCTTATTTCAGGAATCAAGGTTTTAATTTCCTCAGTGGTAGCATTGAGTCTAGCTTGACATCTAACTCGTATATTGTTCATGGTTTCAATAACCTTGTTAAAGTTTGAACAGTTCACACAATCATTTGTAGAATCTAATTGAACTGTTTTTGGTAAATCAACTGCAAACGTATGTAACCAGACATCATTGGAAAACTGTACCTTGGCTTTCTCTTGAAATACGACACCATAGTTCAGTCGAACTTTGTTTGCAACATCCACAGGTATGACCAAATAAGCAACGGTGATGCAGAAGAATGAGAACAACCGCATTCTGATCATAATTGATTCTAAAATACAAAATAAAGGATTCTAAGTTGTGTTTTAATTGTGTGTTGGCCACCACACTTAGCACTATTAAACGAGAATTATCTCAGGAAACAAACATCAGAGAAGCCTTAATTGAGAGGATAAATTTGGATCTCATTAACAGAATGCAATTGTTATACTCTTGCTTGCATTATTTTTGCATTTTAAAATAGGTCGTGTTGCGCTTACGCTTTTTACCTGACATTGTTTTTGTTGCATGGTACTCACGTACAAGTCCAGACCCAAGGTCGTCTTCCGGTAACCAACTTTTTGGATAATTACCTTCCCATTTGACTAAATACTGGCGCTTACCTTGTACATACTTTGATTTGGTAATCTTTTCTATGGGAAACCAGTTATTGCTAGGATCATTCGACACCGCGGATTGATTATCATGCGCATTTTGCGTGTTTTGAGGTGAAACGGTGTCGGCCATTTCTGAATTTTGAGTTTGGTTACGTATCTGCGCGTCTTGATTAGTGTTTGTATTCTCAGACGTACCTGTTTCTCGATTTCGATTGTCTATAGGTTGTAATCGTCGATCTTGCGGATCGTGATACGGCTTCAATCGGTTGGCATGTATAGACGCTTTCAAGAGTTTGTTTGTCGAACAGTTTCGTTAGCAGTACGTGTTGTTTCCATTGATTTTGACGATGTCGTAAGGTCCTTCCCACTTTGCATGGAGCTTTTTGGAATACCCAACTGGCGTCTTTTCAACTTTGACAAGTACTTGTTGATATATACGAAATGATGGATCTTTGGATTTTCAGTTGTTTGCAGCTGTTGTCTGCTCTCGTTTTTAAGAAACGTTGTGCTTTGCCGTTTTCTCAACTACCTTTAGTTCGACGAGAAGTTCATCAAAATGTTGTTTGGCTTCCTTACCCATGGTTTCAGTAGGAATGACTTGCGTGTCGAAAGGAAGATTCATTTCCTTACCAAATAGGATCTTGAAGGGTGAGAACTGTGTTGATTCTGTGCACGGAGAGCTTCTAAGAGACATTAACACACTTGGTAGAAGCTTTGGCCAGTTGTTCTGGTCTTTGTCAATGTAGGCACGAAGACACTGTGAGATGACTGAATTGTACCTCTCTACTGGTGAGTTGGACTGCGGATGGTATGGACTAGTGGCTATCTTTTTGATTTTGAAAAATTCGCATAGAGCGCTTACCAGTTTTGACATAAAGTTCTTCCCTCTATCGGAAACAAGGGTCATTGGCGCTCCGTATCTGGCAAATACCTCAGCATAAAGGATTCTGGCTACCTCGGAAGCTTCTTGTGTTTTGGTTGGAAAGGCTTCAATCCATTTGGAAAGACTGTCCGTGACCACTAGTACATGTTGGTATCCTTCGGTTGTTTTGTTAAAGGACAAGAGGTCAATGTGCCATGTCTCTAATCTGTCCGAAATCGGTAGTGGTTGAAGAGGTGCGTTTGGTTGGTTGATAGGCCTTTTGATTCTCTGACAAACATCGCATGAAGAAATGTAATTTGAAACGTCTTGATACATACCATGCCAAAAGTATTTTTGTTGTAAGGCCCGATGTGTTCTGGTTATGCCTAAGTGACATCCTCCTGCTAAGTTGTCATGGTAGGCTCGCAGGGCAGCAATGCGTAATGTCTCGGGTAACCAAAGTTTTATTGCTTTATCATTTTCAGTCTTACCTTTTGTCCGTGGCTCATAAAGGTAATAGAGAACTCTATTGTCTAATACAAAATAGTTTTCCATATATAGGACCGACTTTGATAGCTTTTCGTTATCGGGTAACTCCTGGGTTTCCAAGTATTTGATAAGATGTTGCATTTTTGACTCACCTTCTCGTTGAAGTTGACCAATATCATCTTTGTCGGGTAAAATTGGACTTTGTTCTGTCTCTATCATGTTTACAGATAGGGTGTCGTTGTATGTAAACACGGCTCGGTAAGTGTCGTTGAATGTTGGCGCTTTTCTTTCGGCAATACTTACAATTAGTTCCGGTTCCTTATTCACGGCGTTGTCCTCAGTATCTTGATATGGTCGTCTGGACATAGCGTCGGCATTTCCATTAGTTTCTCCAGGGCGATATAAAACTTCGAAATCGTACTCCTGTAATCTCAATGCCCAACGTCCAAGTCGGCCCGTGAGATCTTTCTGATTTTGTAGCCATTTGAGAGCTCTGTGATATGTGATGACTTTGAAATGGTTATTTGCTAGATAGACGCGGAAGTGTCTGATACCTTCTATGACAGCTAAGCATTCTCGGTCTGTTATTCCCCATTTCCGTTTGGCTTTGTTTAGCGATCGACCACCATAAGCTACTGGGTGTTCCTTTCCATTTTGTATCTGTCCAAGGATAAATCCTAAAGCTGATGATGAAGCATCACAGGTCAAGATGAACGGTTCTGACATGTTTGGGTACGCTAGGACTGGTGCTGTGGATAGCGCAGTCTTTAGAGTGTCAAATGCTTTTTGGCAATCTGTTGTCCACTCAAAGGGAACGTTTTTCTGTAGAAGTTGATTAAGTGGGGTCGCAATAATCGAGTAAGAATGAACAAACTTACGGTAATAATTACAGAGTCCCATAAAACTTCTTATTTCGTTCTGATTTTTGGGAACGGGGTAATTCCGACCAATGAAACTTTAGAAGGATCTACCATGATACCGTCTTTGGAAAATCTGTGTCCGAGGTATGATACTTGTTCAACGGCAAATTGGCACTTGGATGGTTTGAGTGTAAGTCCAGCGTCCATCAATCTCTGAAAAACCTGTTTTAGGTGATGCAAATGAGCTTCAAAGTTCTTACTGTAAATCAGAATGTCGTCCACATACACTAGTGCTTGTTTCCAGTGAAGACCTCTCAGAACTTGCGTCATGACCATTTGGAACGTAATAGGGGCGTTGCGAAGTCCGAAGGGCATACGTGTCCGCTCGTATATTCCTGTGTGGGTGATGAAAGCAGCTTTATGTTTTGAGGACGGGTCCATCGGAATTTGCCAAAATCCGCTGGCGAGATCAAGTACAGAGAAAATTTTGGCATCTGCTTCTCCAATAGCATCTACGACGTCGTCTAATCTTGGAAGCGGAAATGAAGTTGGTCTTGTTACTTTATTTCATCTCCGATAATCTATCGCAAAGCGATACTCACCATTTTTCTTCGGAACTAAAACAACGGGAGAATACCAATCGGAATCTGAGGGCTCAATAATATTATTTTGAAGCATTTCATCTATTTGACGCTCAATTTCTTTCTTCATCGCGGGTGATGTGCGGTAATTGGGTCCGCGAACCGGAAGTGCATCGCCCGTGTCAATGTGATGTTGATAAGTCGTACTTTTGCCTATTTGTGAGAGATCAGATGAGAAAACTGATTTGTTTTGATTTAGAAATACGTTGTTGTTCTTGATGAGATGTTAAATCGCAATTTGCCAAATCAAAATCAATGTATTCAGAATTATCAGTACTAATGTTCGCGACCATAGGTTTTTCTGCAAGAGTTTTTGAGTCTAAGCCTATAACTGATTCTTGATGCACTTCTGAAACTGTAGCGATGACTAATGTCGACGGCAGAGAGCGTTTGCTTTTAGTTGGGTTCATTATTTCCATAACTGCGCGACCGTTGCGAACTTTAAGTAAACAACGCGCTCCTAGCAATTGTCGATTTGAAAGGGCAGATGTAGGTTCCGATAGAACTGGCTTACCTGAAGTTTGTCTTGAGACCGATACATTCCAAGCGTACTGAACTTTTGAACTTTCTGGCTGAATAACAATAGCATGCAATGGTCTAACTAATCCTAAATTTGTATGTAACATACAGACTAAAGGTTTGTTACCTGGAATTGTCATGGTCTCTGATGCAAAATCTATTTCTACCTTGTTCGTAACAAGAAAATCTCTACCAATAATAAGTGAATGGTGCAGATTGTCAAAGATTAGGAAGGTGTTAGTAAATGTAACATCACTAAATGTTAATGGAAGAGTGATTTCCCCTTTGACACTATGACATTCTCCACCTACACCTGTAAATTTGCGTGAATTTGGATGAATTGATCTTAACATCCGAAGGATCTAACTTGACAAGCAACTTTGAGTGAATACAACTAACGTCAGCACCTGTGTCTACCAAAGCATTTGTCTTAACATTCCCTACATTAACAGTCACTGTACTCTTATGTAAAGATGTTTTGAGACTAAGAACTGTTGGATCTCCCCTATTTGGCAATTTAGCACTCTTTTTAGACTTGTTCTTGATTAGTTTTGATTTTTGAATAGAAAGCTCTTGCTTAATTTCAGAAAGAGTCTTATCCCTAGCACTTACAGCAGCCTTTATCAATTCTTTGTCTTTGTGCCCACCTATAGATGATCTATAGACAGGCTCGAATCCCTATTTACGATTACCTGATCTACACATTCTCTGAAAATGACCTAGCCTGGAACATTTCCTACACCTTTGATTTAGAGCTGGACAGTTCCTCCTATCCCTAAAATGCATTCCACATCTAGAACACTCATAGTGTGACCTAGACTGATTGGGATTTGAGGCTCTACCCAGAATTGGCCTAAATTGAGAAAAATTCCTTTGATTTGGACCCATAGTCCTTTCAACGTGGCTAACATTCGCGGAAGCTAAAGCTAACTGTTGTAATTGTTCAGACATTTGATCAAATTTAGCATGTAAGGATTCAACTTGAATACTGTCAGTAGAGGAACAATTTTTTTCCCGCTAATACTGCAAGTCTACGAACCTGATCAACTGTTTCAGGCTCCCTCATGGTTACGTTTTGTTTAATGTTATTGGATAACCCATTTAACAAAGCACCTACTTGAAGATTTTCAGGCCAATTGACCTTTTGAGCCTGTTTTAGAAACCTAGCCACATACTGCTCAGCTGATTCAGCTGGCAGTTGCTGTATTTTGAACAATGACACATCATAAGCGTTGTTTTGAACTCTAAATGTATCTAAGAATGCTGCGGCAACTTCTTCAAAACCTCTGTTCTTAATTCTCTGATCTAAATTGTCATACCAGAGAGAAGCGGCACCTGTTAAATGGAGCGGGAAACCGGCCGCTTGTCTATCATCATTCAAATTTGTAAATATTGAATACTGGCGATATTTTGCCAGCCATGCGACAGCATCTTCATCGCCACCGCCGAACTTTTCAAACGAAAAGGAAGACATTACCTCGTCTTCTTGTTCTTCACAGTCGAAGTCGAAGTCCTTGTCGTCTTCCAAGAACGTTGTTCGCAGATAGTAATTGTGCGGTCTTGGCATGTGAGGTTGTGAGGATCCGGGTCTTTTTCTCCACCACGTATTACGGCGTGCTTTTAGCCGCCTGGGAATTAGCTCTGGGGATTGCCTTACGCCCAGCAATACCTTTGTCCTTGCCCCTTTGGATGATCCTTATTGACCTTTAAAATACGACAAGGTTGAGGTTATACAATGTTTATTGTCTCGTGTCCCGAGCGTAAGTGAAGTATATTACAACATAATAAAGATCAATTAATTTACAAGATGTTATTGATTGATATTAATGTACAAACATGAAATATTGAATTAATTTATCAAGTACTTAAATTTATACTAAAGAAACAATACAGTGGTCCGTCATTAAACATTGGCGGCCATATTGAAAACTTACTTCCGGTTACATTTCCGGTGCTAAAATTACACAAAAGTTATGGCGTCCGATACAATTTTAAAAGTGACATCATTTTAACAAAGTAAAATGGAACAAAATATTATAGAAGGAATATAGAACATTATACTTAACTTTAATAATAATGCGGCGAAGTACGATATTTATTTCCTGACTTAGTTAACCTTTTAAAGGAATTTATACCTAATAATATGATGACCAATAATTAATCTTTTTACAGTAAATATGTATATCCTAACTTTAATTCACAATTAATAATTCTAACTGTTAATTTAGAATAAAACTGAATTCATTACTAAGAATGCTCAACATTTGTTATAAATATAAATAAGTAAATGTTTCAATACTGACCTTAAAAATACGACAAGGTTGAGGTTATACAATGTTTATTGTCTCGTGTCCCGAGCGTAAGTGACGGGAGAACAAACTTAAACCTTCAACCTGTCCTTTGAGAGGTCACTCAAGGGGAATAATTATATTTAATTATAATTGTCATTATTAGAATTTAATTGATATCCCTAACGGAGCCTCACAGGGATAGCGTCCCTTATTACCTAGAGTTTGATTTAACTTGCCGAAGAGTTTCTCACTTATTCTGGCATCTATTGTTAAGAGTTAATCCCGAAGTGATAGTAATTAACTCAAATACGTATGTTCTGACAGATGAATAGATAGACAGGCAAATGTTTATATTACAAATTAACTTTACCATTGATAATTGCCGATATGTGAGAAAGTATTACTTAAAATAAATTGTAACATATGTTTGATCAAGAAATAAAGAGAACCTATGCGTGAATGTTGATCCGAACTAATTAAACTAATTTATTTATTTAGCAGGTATACTTACTTCTAAATATTTCCTATTTTCAAAATCATAACTTTTAAATAAAAATTGCTTAAAATTTAGCTAGAAGAATAAAATAAATATTGATTATCATTGATTTATATAAAATTACGTCAGAATTCAAAACATTAAAATGTGCACCGTCACAAGAGAACAAAAATCACCAAAAAGTGACAGAAGAGGGCGAGGCAAAGCAAAAGACTGCTCAGATTAATGCCAGCAAATTTCCAGAGTTGCTTCATGATATGAAAATAGTTATATATATGTATGTTGTAGATGTTAGTTAGACCAAGACTCTATTTTCCGTGTTATACCTGACTACCTAATCTTAGAAAGTGACAGGACTCATTTGCAGAATGTGTTCTGTAAATATGTTTCAATTGTTAGAAAACTTGTATTTCCAGATGGGAATATTAAGGAAGCATAAATTCTTAAGTTGGTTTACTCCTTAGGCTAGGTAATAAGACAATACATTTTAAAGTTTTGTTTAGGCTTTCATGTAGTATAATTATATACAAGGAGGAAAAATTCAGGGAGTTGAGCCAAGAAGAGGAAGAAGATGATTGGCCAGAAAAGGGCATGACTTGTCCCGTACCTGAATGTGGCTCCAAGAATCATCTCTTCCAGCATCTGGGAAACTACAGAGCTCGTTACGATCGGTTTCACAGAGAGAAAATACAATTATTTAACTGTCCCATCAGTAGTGTTATATATGCTGTACTACAACACACTTTATAGTTATTTATTTATATAATAAGATCCGCCCAATTTACTATATATTCTTACCAATTATGCTAATTAGATGAAAGGCTTTCTCTATATATTTAAACCAAAGGCTCACAGCAGTCTCCACCCAATTCAGAAGGCTTACTCTATACATTTATACCAAAGGCTTACAATAGTCTTCGCCCACTCGGAAGGCTTATTGTTATATATATGACCCACCCATTTAACTATATATTCTTACCAGATATATGAAAGGCTTTCTCTGTATATTTATACCAAAGGCTCACAGTAGTCTCCACCCACTAAGAAGGTTAACTCTATATATTTATACCAAAGGCTTATAATAGTCCCACCGTTCACGGTAGCTCAGTCGGTAGAGCGCTCGCTCCATGATCGGGAGGTCGTGAGTTCGAATCTCGGCCGCGACAGACCTAAGTCGATAAAAAATAGGTAGCAACTGTTCCTTCGCCATGCGCTCGGCACTTTGAAGTGAAAGTTGCGGGTCCTTCGGATGAGACCTTAAAAACCGAGGCCCCGTGTCACGGCAGGCGTTGGCACGATAAAGATCCCTCACTGCTCAATGGCCCTGAGTGCCGAGTAAAGGTCAAAATTTGAAGCCCTTCACCGGTATATGGTGACGTCTCTATATGAGTGAAAAATTCTCGAATGGGACGTAAAACAATATACAATCAATCAATCAATATAATAGTCCCATCCACTTCGAGTATTTAATTTATAAATAGGTACTATCTGTCAATTTATCATTTAAAACCATGGAACCAGACAGTGACGACATGCGTAAATTAGCTCCTGGGACCATTCAATATAAATGGCAAGTGATAACCTACTCCTCTGTAAAACAAGATGATAAATGTTCTGTGTTGTTGGAATCTGAATGGTTTAACAAGAAATCTGATTGTATGTTAAACTATAAAGAAAACATGAAGAAAGGATATGATATCATCGATTGTTTTTCTACGAAAGAAGTAATTGTCAGGAGAAAAATTTTGACCTAAATACATATTTTTGAGATAATGAAACTTAGTCAACCATGTCGCTAACACCTACAGTATATATGCTTAGATTTTTTTTTGTGATGACTCATAATGCTGACACTTCACAAGATGGATGAAGAAAACAGATATTTTAAATTATTTAACCAACTTTGCATTGAACAATTATGGCAAAATGTAAGCGAGCTGTCCCTCGAGAGATGTAATGGATGTGAAATTGGACACCCATCACAAACTGAACATTCATGTTTGATGGACTCTAATTATATCAAACTAATTTTATACTTTGAATTGGCCTTCATCAAGCTGGACCCAGAGAAAATTTATAGTGATTTGCTGGAAAAATATAAATGTGATCAAGAAGAACTCATAATTTTTTGGAATACCATGAACGTCTACGTTTGTACGGACATGTGGAAGCAGTCTTTGTTCACAAATTTGGAAAACGACGTAAAAGACTACAGTTTTTAGAGAAGTTTTTAGAACAATACTATTATGATATTTCTAACCCAGCAGCTTACACCACACCATCCAAACTTTATACCGCTTTGAAATCCAATAGTTTAAATTTAGTAAATATTTTATTACAAAATGGTTACAGAAACAAGACGCCTATACATTACAGAGACAAGTTCGACGACCGACTAGAGTTCCAAACATTAGAGTTAGTGGACGGAATGTTCAATGGAGCATGGATCTTATGGATGTGCAGAACCTGTCAAAAGAAAATGATGATATTAAGTATTTACTAATTTTGATTGACACTCTTTCCAAATATTTACGTGTGGTTGCATTACGTCAAAAGAGTGCAAAAGATGTATTAAATGCCATGAAATTGGTATTTGAATCTGGAGTAAAAAGTAATTCTATTAGAAGTGATCGTGGAGGAGAATTCAAAAACCGTTTACTTCAAAAGTTTTTAAAAGAAAAAGGAGTACGACTTTTTTTTGCTAATCAAAATTCAAAGGCGTCAATAGCAGAACGAGTTATACGCACCATACGGGGGCGGTTGTTTAGATATTTTCAAAAAAACAGAACTTACCGATATATAGATGTCCTTCCAGATATTGTTGAAAATTATAACTCAACACCGCACAGGAGTCTTGGAGGATTAGCACCCAAGGAAGTCACTTCTGACAACGAAGCAGATGTTTGGGCTCAACTTTATTTGAAAAAGAAAAATCAAAACAAACGTGTTAACCCAGTAAAAAAGAAAAAAACAGAAAAAACATTAAGTTTAGATTTAAAGTAAACGACCTGGATTATCTCATTTGACGCATATTTTTCGTAGAGGTTACAACCAACAATTTACAGGATAATATTTTAAAATTGCAAAACGATTTCACTTGCAGGGTATACCACTATACAAAGTAAAAGACTTTAATGATGAAATAATCGAAGGTGATTTTTATGAAAATGATTTGCAAAAAGTGCACAAAGAAGAAGACAGTTTATGGCTAGTGGAGAAGTTTATTAAAAAAAGGAAAAGAAAAGGAGAAACTGAATGGTTTGTGAAATTCCAGTCTTGGCCTGATAAATTTAATCAGTGGGTGAAGGAGTCTGACGTCGTAGACGTAAGCACAAAATAATGGAGAAGTTCATATTTGCAAAATCTTCTGATTCAAGGGAATATTTTCCAGACAACAGGTATTATGATTTTAAGATACATCTTGATAGATCAATAAATTTACAAGGCTATTGGAAAGTTGGAATAACTGAATTTTTTACAACGGCAAGTGCGACTAAGACAATCATAGACAAAACTGCAAAACCCATTACCACATTTAACAGAAAACCAGTTTATGTATACACAAACATTTGCAGCTTTTCGAGTGTACACGGACAAGAACAGCCTTTATTGCGAATCATTCATGCAGATGCTTCGTACGGATGGAATGATAAATTTGATTCGGTTTATTATTTTCCTGTCGGAGTTCCAGAGATATCCGATATACATATATATTTAAAGGATGATTCTGGATCACTGGCGACATTTATTGACTCAGACGTTTGGGTTACACTTCATTTGCATAGATATCCTTTCTGAATATGGATTCTACTGGAAAATTATATTTGCCAGACGCACAAAAATGGACAAAATTTTACACACAGATAAACAAGGGAAACGTGAATCCTTACACAGATTATACCATGAAAGGTTACCAACGTGGAGGTGGTTTAAGAAACAATACATCTCCATATATGGTATCCATTGACAAATACGCTAAACAGTCACTTGACGGAGAGGCAAAACCAAAAATACAGATGACATCACCTTCAGAACAGGTGGTTGAACAAGCTAAAGTGAACTAGTTAGAGAAAAGACCAAAAAGCGTAAACAGCAGAAGAAACATTCCAGTGAGAAATCGACACGCAAAGGAGGAGAACGTCCTGAGAAGAAGAAAAAAATTGTAAAGCTTAATTCAGACGTTTTTGGAGTTTATTAAAACAAAATGTCAGTGTTATCACCGGAAACGTTTAGGGAAGCAATGCCAAGTCAACTTTCTCTGTTTGATATGCCACCCACACAGACAGCCGTGGAAACATTTACTTTCAAGATGTGCTACCTATATCTCAGATTTCAGACAGTTCACCAATTGAATTTCAATTATCAGCTCAAAATGGGATGGACTATATTGACCTCAAGAGAACCCGGATTTACATCAAGCTAAAGGTCATGAATGGAGAAAGCGCATTAGAAGCTGCAGATATAGTTGGTCCAGTAAACTTGTTACTGCAGTCGTTGTTCAGTCAAGTTGATGTTTCTATGCAAAACAAACCAACAACCAGTTCCGGTGCGCATTACCCATACTTGAGCATGTTAAATTCTCTTATTCACTACGGAAGTGACGCCAAGAATTCGCAATTAACTTCACAGTTGTGGGAAAGCGATCACCCAGGAGAATTTGACGATGTCAATGCAAAGTCTGGTCGAAATAGTGGCCTTTTAAAACGTGCTGCTTTCATCAAGAGCAGTAAAAGTATTGATCTGGAGGGACCTATCATGCATGAATTGTTTCAGATGGATAGATATATCTTAAATCAAGTCGGTATATCACTAAAATTCTATCAATCTCGACCGGAGTTTTGTCTCTTATCGACAACTGCATCAGGCAAAAATTATAAAATCAAGTTAGAAGATGCCATATTGCGCGTATGCAAATGCAAAATCAATCCAGCAGTTATACTGAGTCATGCAAAAATGTTGGAAACTACAAGTCAAATATCCCTACAAGAAAAGCATTGTGAAGATGTACAATCTTGCCAAAGGCCTTCACAATATATCCTTGAAAAACTTATTTTCTGAGACAAGACCAGATCGCCTTTACGTCGCTTTTGCATCTTCACAAGCAGTAGCTGGAGACTTCTCTAAAAATCCATTTAATTTTCAATTTTCGACATCAGACAAATTGGTCTCTATAATGATGGAAACCCGGTGGGTAATAGTCCAGTGAAGCTCAAATTTGATACCATAAATGACGATAGCATTGTTTCCGCCTACGTCAGTATGTTTGATAATAGTGGGAAATGGCTGTATGATGGAGGAAATGCGATATCTAGAAAGCAATTTGGAGAAGGAGGAAATGTAATCTTCTGTTTTGATCTAGAACCTACTTTTGAGCAGGGTGAATACCTCACATTACTTAAACAGGGAAACGTACGCCTTTAAGTACAGTTCGGAACAGCACTGCCTGAGACAGTGACGGTGATCGTTTGGGGACAGTACTCTGCTCTCTATGAAATTAACCAAGCAAGAGACATAATAATGAACTAAACAACGACAGCACTTACAAGTCCTCAGTTGGAGTGTATGATCACATGTGATCCATTAATGAAATCTGACATTGTTGGTGTTTTCCCGTCTGATCGGATTACTAAACTACACACTAATCAAGGATTGATTGTTAATACAGATCATCATAACCGTGAAGGACATCATTGGATAGCAGCGTACAACGTGAATAATAAACATATTGAAATCTTTGATAGTCTTCATAACAAAATGTTGCAAAAGCAAATAAATTTCAAACATTTAGCTGGCGATATTCCTATAGTCATGAACAATAGTGTAATACAATGTACAGATTCATATTTATGTGGCTATTATTGTATTTCTTTTCTATTTTTCAAAGTAAGACATATGTCTTTTGAAGATTTTTTGAGTTTATTTTCCAACGCATGTAAAGTGAATGATGCGATTGTGCTTGAATTTGTGAAGCGAAAATTTCCTTTATGTTTGATTAATCACATGCAACGTCTTTATTTATGTGTATCAAAATAAATAAATTATACTATAAAATGGTATTTTTTTATTAAAAGTATTTAGTTTTATCGATTCTTTTGATGATGGCAAGTATTGAAATGGAACACATAGCGAAATTTAAAGCTAACAGTAATATCATTGTGAGCGGACAATCTCACGCTGGAAAAACTACCTTTGTTTTCTCTCTAATGAAGAATCTTACTGTGTTTGAATCCAACATTAAGCATATTCTTTACGCATACGGAATGTGGCAACCTTTGTTTGAACAGATGGAAATGGAAATTAAAAACATTACATTTTTTAACGGTATTCCAGACAAGAAAGTTCTAGAGAGTTTTTCAAAGGACTATTCAAACGTTCTATTGGTGCTTGATGATGTTATGAGTCAAGGGACGAGCAGTCCAGAGGTGATGAATTTATTTACTACGTATTCACATCACATGGGAATAACAGTATTATTTCTCTTACAAAACATTTTCCCACCAGGAAATGTATGCGAACTATATCGTTAAATGCTCACTACATAATTCTTTTTAAAAACAATAGAGACGAACAGCAAGTCAGAACATTAGGAAGACAAATATTTCCCAGCCAATCGAATTACTTTATGGATGCCTATAAGAAAGCAACGGGAAGAGCACATTCGTATTTGTGCATTACACTCTATCCAGGTACTGACGATAAACACAGGTTATCTACAAATATTCTTCCAAACGAAGAGACTGTATATTACCTTCCTATGTAGAGGGATGACTACGAAAGTTAAAAAGCATTTAGACTATTTAAGACTTTTAACTTCAACCCATGCCAAGCAGAGAAGACAGTTAATCAACACAATTTCAAACGAGCAGTTATCTGTTTTATCAGAAGCCGTATTTAACGTGTTAAAGGGAGTGTGTCCACTGTCTAACGTTAACAAGAACAGACTTAGTAAAAATAAAACGATTTTACGGAAATTAGTTGATCCGAAACTAAGCAGGAAATTTAAAATATTGATTCTAAATAAAATTCCAAACCTGATCCCAGAACTGCTAAGACCAGTCATTCGATACTTTTCGCATGATGGCAAAGGAAGTGGTAATGGTCCCACGAGAAAAGTACACAAAATTGATGGGAATTTACGAGAAAACGATGCAAAATCAGAGTGAGAAGGATCATATTCATAGCAAAGGAACTATTAACCTAAATATTACCGACATGAAAAATGAAAATCCAATTGAGGCGAACAGTACCACCATTGAAGAAAAAAATTCTTTGAAGGACAATGACCTAAATCCATTATTCAACACAAAGGAGTCAAAAGAAACGCGACCCAACCCTGATGTCATCTCACCCTCAAGTGACACGAAAGACAATGTAATCTTAGTAAGCAATCAAACGCAATTAAAAAACCCACCTGATGTCAGTCCAGATTTCGCTGTATATAAATCCATTTCGAAGATTACTAAAGCCCGCAAAAGACCTGAGGAGAGAAGAAAAATGACTCGAAAAACCTGGTTAAAGCTTTGATAACTTCAATTATGGAAGAGGACGAAAAAACGTTCAAATGCCTTGAATGTCGTAAAAGTTATAAAAGAAAATCGGATCTAAACAGACACATTAGATCGAAAAGAGAAAAATACGTGTGTCAAGTATGTAACCATGTATTCAACAGGAAGGACAATTTTCTTACTCACCAGCGACGGTTTCACAATAATACGCCATCCCATCCTGACAGAAGAGATCTCAACGTATCACCATCGACATCGTATCAAATAGGTGAAGGTTCTGAATCGACTGAAACAGACTCTCAAAAACAATTAAGGAATGAAAATCAAACTGAAAACAATAATGAAATTCTACGTGCTTTGAATGGCTCTGTTAATTGTATTAAAATATACCCAAGAGACGTGGAAAGATTTGACATGCTTGTGTTTTATAGTAATATTAAAGAGAAAGTTCAGGACATATTTGTATCATCAACCCCACTCCGTAAAGGAATTAAATGGTATTTAATGACTCGAGTAGAGACTCGAGTGAGAAAGGAGGCGTGCATGAAATTGCCAAGCCTCATTTTCGGAGCATTACTTATGCTCACTTGTATGCGGAGGACTTTCACTTGTATGCGGAGGACTTTAATATACACCATTTAAACGAAGCCTTTCAAAAAATTTTCACTTCCAAAGAAGAATTCATTATGAAAGGCTCGGATTGGGTTTTTTTCCAAAGTTCTCTTCGTTGAAGTGTGTTTTGTTCATTACTTACCTCTAAAAGGTGGTAGTTACATTGCTGCACCACCCAAATTGCAACATAGCAAGTCTTTAGTTAACGTTGAAAATCGGGATCAGAAATGTTTTCTTTACTCGATTTTGGCAAAACTTTACCCTGCAAGACATAACCCGTCAAGAGTGAGCAACTATCTTCAATACGCTAACAGACTAAACATGAAAGGGATACACTATCCTGTTAAATTGTCGCAGATAGAAAAATTTGAAAACCAGAATCATGTGTCAGTTAATGTTTTTGGTTATGAGGATCGAGAGATTTTTCCAATGCGAATTACAAAAAAGAAAAAAACTATCACACGTAGACCTCCTTTATTTAAAAAACAAGGATCAGGTTCACTACTGTCTGATAAAAAATCTCAACAGGTTTTTGTTCCGTACATCTGGAGAGACTAATCGCCATTCAAGACATTACTGTCCATATTGTTTACATGGATTTGTTAAACGACATACATTGAACAAACGCGTCGATTTTTGTATGGCTCTTGGAGAACAAAAGATTGAGATGCCTATACCAGGCGAAAATGACGTTTTACAATTCACCGAAATTGCAAAGCAGTTAAAAGTCCCATTTACAATATATGCCGATTTTGAAACGTACGTGAAACCCATTCAGACGTGTGATCTCGATCCCATTTCATCACATACTGTCAATTTGTCTGAATTCGAGCCCTGTAGTTTCGCTTATCAAGTAATATCCAGCGACATTAGATATACCAAAAAGCCAGTTGTATACCGCGGTGAAAATGTAGTAGAGACATTTCTGAACATGATTTTAAAAGAAGAGGAAGAAATACTGAAGTTACTGAAACGAATAGAGCCCATGAAAATAAGCGATGAAATAGAAAAACAATTTGAAGAAGCTACAAATTGTCACATATTCGGTTTAGCTTTTGATGGTAATTCAACCAAGGTTAGAAGCCATGATCACGTAAGTGGGGGTGTGTTTGGAATTGCACACCGTGACTGTAACTTGCAATTTAAACAGGTAGAATTCATACCAATTATTCTGCATAACCTGAGAGGCTTCGATGGACATTTAATCATGCAGAAATTGGGTCTATTCAAGAATAAAAAGCTTAGTGTCATTGCTAATTCGAACGAGAGATATGTAACTTTTAGCTTAGGTAGCTTGCGATTTATTGATTCGTTCCAATTTCTATCGTCTTCCTTAGACACTTTAGTTCAAAAACTCAAATCAAGTGGAGATGCACATTTTAAATACTTTAACAGACATTTCAAAACCGAAAAAGAAAAGACATTGCTTTTGAGAAAAGGTGTTTACCCGTACTCTTTTGTCACCGATGCAACAAAATTTATGACTAAACAATTACCTCCTAAATCGGCATTTTACAACTCTTTAAGCAAAGCTGAAATATCCGATAAAGAATACGAACATGCACAGCTAGTATGGAATGAAATGAGAATGACAACAATGGGTGACTATCATGATTTATACCTACTATGTGATGTCCTTTTATTAGTTGATGTTTTTGAAAGGTTTAGAGAAGTATCAATAGAGAGCTTTAACCTAGATCCTGCACAATACTTTACATTGGCGGGTATGTGTTGGAGTGCCTGTTTAAAAATGACAAAAGTGGAGTTGGAACTACTGACGGATATTGATCAATACCAAATGATCGAAAAAGGTATACGAGGGGGTGTAGCTATGATGGCAACTCGACATGCTGAGGCCAACAATCCATACATACCAGAAACATTTGATGAAAATAAGCCAAGAGAGTATTTGGGCTACTTTGACATGAATAATCTTTATGGGGGTGCCATGCTAGAACCGTTGTCTGTTGGAGACTTTGGTTGGTTAATTGACAATGAAATATCTCAACTCGACGTAATGAATATACAGAAAAATAGTGACATTGGGTATATTCTAGAAGTCACTTTGAGCTATCCAGACAAATTACACGATTATCATTCAGACTTACCATTAGCTCCAGAGTCGGTAACAATTCTTTTGGATGATTTATCTCCATATTGTAGAGAACAGTTCCAGAACATTAACAAAAAAAGTAAAGGCGTAGTTTCAAAAAAACTGATACCAACTCTTCGCAAAAAGGAGAAATATGTTTTACACTATCGCAATCTGCAATTTTACCTTCAGGAAGGACTCGTGTTAACTGAAATACATAGAGCTATTCGATTTAGACAGGAAGCATGGCTGAAACCTTACATAGAATACAACACCAATATGAGACGACAGGCAAAGAGTGACTTCGAAGTAAAATTATACAAAGACTACAACAACATAGTGTTTGGGTAAGTAAATTGAAATTCATTATCCTTTTCTTTTCCATGTCTACTGAATCTCTGTAATTATATGTGCTCTTTTCTTTACAGGAAAACAATGGAAAATATCCGCATGAGGATGAATTTTAATTTGGTAAATAACAAAAAAAGATTACAAAAATTGGTAGCCAAGCCAAGTTTCGAAAATTTTACAATCTTTAACCAACACCTGGTCGGAGTGAAAAGCAAGAAGGTTAAACTACTACTAAATAAGCCCATTTACACGGGAATGACTGTCTTGGACCTTTCTAAATTATTCATGTACCAATTCCATTATGGATATGTCGAGAAACAATATGGTAACAGGGCAACCTTGCCGATGACAGACACCGACTCATTATTCTGCAAGTTCCAAACGGAGGATTTATATCAAGACATGGTTCGAAATAGAAAACTATTTGATACATCTAACTACCCCAAAAATCATTTCCTATACAGTGAAATAAACAAGAAAGTCGTGGGAAAAATGAAAGATGAAACCGGAGGTATGTTTTTTTATTACTTTTAAATAAGTAAAGAGAATTCAGTCGTTCATAAAATGTTTGCTGCAAGAATAAACTTATCGTAATATCTTTATCTGATAGGGTATCCCGTGAAAGAATTTGTTGGACTAAGAGCCAAAATGTATTCATTCCTGATTCATGACGATAAGGAAACCCAGGTGAAGAAAGCAAAAGGGATTTCTTAATCAGTGGTGATCAAAGATCTTAATCACTTCCAGTACAAGGACTGTCTCTTTGAAAAGCAACGCTCACGTCACAAGATGCAGAACATTTGTAGTGACAATCATGTCTTGTATCTATAATTCATCAATAAAATATCTTTGTCACCTTTTGATGATAAGCGGTGGTGGTTAGCTCCATTTGGAGTACATAGCTATTCTTATGGACATTATAAAATTGATGAATATGAAAAAGTTTAAAATAACAATGTTTGTATTTGATGTATTATTTTATTGTAATAAAGAGTATGAATGGGACACTTGCGTATATAAATCACTACATGTATCTATATATGATGTAAATATTTTCCAAAGAATAAATGACTCTCAATTTACTAATGTAATTTAATTGATAAATAATTAAAATTTTGAAAGAAAATAGTCATTCGTTCTTTTCACAGGACATAAAACCATAAACGTTACGTTTCTTACTTTTTCAGATGTTGGTTTAAAATACAATAATGGTTTAAGAAATCTAAATCGATACGAGTCATACAAGTGTTTAATTATAAATTGTTACACATATAAATTTATATATCATGTGTACATTTTCTGAATGATTGGATAATACTTTTATTACCAAATGCATTTTAATTTCATCGATAAAGTAAACAATTTTTTTAATTGCGCCATTCTTCCTTAAGTTTCTGAAAACAGGAAAGGGAGAGATCTAAATGTACATATGATTACAGCGTTTAGACACAACATCCTGTACATAATTGTAAATTATCTTATGTTGTTTTCGTGCCTCCATGCATTTTTTATGCAAGAAGTCCAACTGACCAATCGTCTCAATGAAATTCATCGCAACGTTTAAGAAGTCTTGTACGTTTTCCACCAGTTGAACATTTCCGGAGAGTTTAAATACAATGTCTTTCAAATAATTTATCATTATTTCACATTGATCATTTCGTGCCATATATTCACTAAACAAATAGTTCATTTCATCAGCCATTTTATAGTAATGATGTAGAACGTTTACAAAGTCCTCTTTTTCGCTAGACGTCAATGGAACTTTTCCACAGTAACAGCTCTACATTTTAATAAAAAATGCTAAGTATAAAATTCTAAATTTAAACGAAAGTGTCAATTGGTTTTCGTTTTCATAAATTCATTAAAACTGTAGTCCATTTCATCAAAGATTTCGAGACCATTGTTAAGAACATTTTCAAAGTCTTGTTTTTCGTTCAGAGTCGAGTGAATTTTCCCAAATGTACAGTTCTGTTTAAAATTTTCCAGATAATTTTGAATTATAATACATTGCTCTTTCATTTTCATAAATTCATTTAATTTGTTGTACACCTCATCAGACATTTCAACGGTATGGTCAAAAACATTCTCAAAGTCTTGTTTTTCGTTCAGAGTCAAGTGTTTTTTCCCACATGTACAGTTCTATATTTAAAAAAAATACACCTTAAAGTTTTGAAAATTATTATGAATGTACATAGTTCATTATTTATCTAAAGTAAATTGTTCTAGATATCAATAACAAGAAGAACATTCTACTATTTTAAATGTCACACAAGTTATCTATACAATGTAATATATGCAAACAATGAAACTTTTTTCTTAAAAGCATTTTACGAGCATACTAAGGTGTAATATTAACATTAATAATGTATAATCTTACATTCATTAAGGAAGAGATTAAGTGTTCAATTAATTGTTGCACATGAAAATGCATGACAATTTTTTTCAAGATCATTAATTAAACATTTATAGATGTAAGAAAAAGTTTCATATCACAAACTACGTGGAATATAAGATATTTAGTGTCTCCGCGTCGTTTATTTTTTTTGGGAGTTAAAAGTCATCCTCCCCCTCCAGGTCCACCACCCTCCTCTTTTTACGCGTTGCAACCACGAGCTATCGATTAAAATAAAACTCTTGATAGAAATCGTTTCATTTTACACATTACATGAATACTATCATATGTTTTTAATTAATGTCAGTGTCCCCGTTTTTCGTTAGTTAGAACTCATCGTCAGCATCAAACTCAGCTACACGCTTCTTTTGTGATCATAAGCTATTCATTGAAAAACTCATTGTACCCTTATATATCTAGTAAGTTGAAAATAAATAGAATGTAACGTTTATGATACTGAATTAATTACAACTTACCAGTTCCGGGCTAGGTGGCCCTTCGTTGGTCTTCCTAACTTCCTCCACCGCTCTTTTGATTGTGTAGTACGGATTGTTCATAGCTTCAAACACATCATCAGGAAACGAAGCCTTTTTCCCGTTGTTGTTGTCTAAGAGAACGATAAAAGAAAGACAACTCTTAATATACATGTATTTATCCAGTATTGTCGTAAAAGACATAATAACGTTATTTGATTCAAATATCACTTACCCTGCAGATGCAAGTAAACCTTGCCTCTGTAATAAGACATCTGAACTGCGTATTGCCCCCTAACATATTTGTTAGATTCTTTCAAAACAAATTGAATACTCCCATTGCTCTTCTCCTCCTTCTCGAACGTTTGCATGGTGTCGAATCTCAAAATGATCGCAAGATGAAAATTGTGAAAATGTAGCCTCTTTATATATAGTATATGAACATGAACTGCCCCTGAACTTTTTTTTTTTTTGGTAAAAGTGTTTTTGAAAAAAATTGTTTACCAATAAAATGAGAAATACTTGTATGAACTCTACCCGAGATGTTTTCTTGGTCATTTCATGGAGTAAACAATTTAGTGTCATTTTATGGAATAAACAATATATAGTTCACTGTTTTAGAAGACTCCATCATGAACGACGAACTTCATTCCCCAACAACGGGGAACTTGTCTTTGAGTTAAATTAAGATCATTGATGCTGCAGATATACCTTCTCATATTTGGATGTTTATTTTTGGATGTATTTAAAAATGGCGGAGGGTCAATTATAGATGTATTTAAAAATGGTGGGTGGGCCAATTATAGATTTATGACGCAAGGTTGTGCAATTCATAAGATGACATCTGAGCATGCGTCATGTATACGAGGAATGCGAAATGTGAGGAATGTATAATTAGAGATGTATGTTCTAAATCTATAATTGAAAACTTTGTATGGTTTAAAATAAACAGATGTAAAGCAAAAAGTGATAGATCTAGTGTCCAAAAATAATTGGTCGTTGTTTATGACCCATGTAACTATTAATGGAGGGGGGGGGGAGTATAAAAGAATAAAAGAGATGACCGAATCTTCATTCAATCTTTGTTCTGACCAAGAAAAGGTTGGCTAGAAAAAAAATACATTGAAATGGAGAGTGTTGCGGTTATGACAAATTTGATTGAAAACACTTGTGATGAAGAGTGTAGAACAAGACTCAAACGTACTTGCTGGAGGGACAAAGTGTGGATGATTCCAATGTTTATCATTTTAATGGCCGTTCTTATATTGCTTTGTGTCAATCTCCTATGGCTGGAGAAAGGACAAAATGGTATTGATTTAGCGATGGATATCATAGAATGGAAAAATTAGAACAAAACGTCTCTAATGTGTCCGTATACCGACCAGTTTCCCCTAACTAATGATGTTTATGTTTCTATATGTAGCTTGAACCAGAACAGTTTGATTGATATTCGACGTTTTAAAGACGGGTTACCTACTATTGAGGGAATACAAATGAATAAAATGCAATGGCAATATTTGAAAGCATCTGTTGGACATATTGACTCTTCCATTTTAAAACTCCCTCATTTGATCCGTGTGCAAGTTTGAATTTAATCTCCATATTTCATAATATTAAATGAATTAATTGTTTTTATTTTTTGACACTTATAGTCCAATGAAAATGGGTTTTTTCACTTATAAATATCTTTTCCTTTGGCTTAAATTTTTTATTTCACTATGGACAGTCGAAGGACACAGTACAAATGAAAAATTGTAGCCTGGAGTGCACTAAGATTATCGAAAGAGTCTGAAAAGAAAACCTGGACTTTACAAGAAAGTCAATGGTTTGATCGCAAAGCAGATTGTATCAAAGATTTTCAGACTGTGATTAAGGACGGCTATGATATTGCTGACAGTTGGGGGTCAGAGGAATACTTATTAAAACGGAGGGTTATGCCGAAAAAATATTCTCCATATTAGAGTGATATTTTTTAAAATATGGAGCATTTACCTAGTGATGTAAAAAAAATACATACATCTCAAAAACATGTTCACTTTAGTGACAATACAGAATTTTTTTTCATTCCTGTCGAGGATAGAAAGGGTGAATGGATGACTTATGCCATTGACAGAGCACATTTTAAGAGAAGAATTCAACAAATAGAGAGTCTAATTTCACCTATTTTACAAAAGAAACTAGACAGTACAAGATATGACTGTTCAATATAGATATGGATGTTTATTGGAAATAACGGACGTTGATGGAATCGTTCATCAGTGTAACTGTTTGACTGTTAAACCTCACGGACTAAGTGAGAAAATGAGCAAAACGTACCCTTGGGGTGATGTGTACAAAACACGTAGACCACAAGGTACAAGAAACTTAGCTGTTCTAAATGACAGAAGTACACCTGGAACTATACAGATCATGAAATCCCCTGAGATCGGTATGCCTGGCGTCATTTGCTTATTTTCACAGTGGGACTATGGTCGTAGGAGTCGGAGAAATATCCCTCCTTTCAAATATTCTCAAATTAACAGAGAGCAATGGTTTGCACAAAGTCTTTCCAAATTAAGAAATATTCCTCACAGAAGACTAGCTTTTCCATTCAAAATTGGGTGTGGATTAGCAGGAGGGAAAGTGTATAACAATCACATTCACCATTTTACCATAACGTCTGGGAAAAGCGTATTGATATTGATACCAGAACAGGACGGACTGAAGTCAAGGTAGAATGACTTTTGAGTGATTTTACCTTCTGTTATTGTGACAATTTAATGTAGCATGAAGCTTCACAAAAATGAAAATTATCGTGTTTTCAGACATAAATCAGTGAGGCAGACTATTTCACCACTCTTATGAAATAAAGAAAGTTAAGATACCATGACTTACTAAGAATACCTGTAATGACAAAAAAATTCTATTGATAATTCAGGATACACATTTTCATTGACGGGAAAGTAGACATTTTTTAAGGTCTGTCGGATATAGATGTCAACACTATTTCACAACTCATTGAAATAATAAAAAAAACGAAAAAAAATATAAAATTTAGAAATGAAGTTATATAAAGTTTGTAGATGTGATGACAGTATTTTGTATTTTTGGTATATGATGATTTTGTCGGATACAGATGTCAACAGTATTTCACAACCCATTGAAATAATAAAAAAAAACGAAAAAATATAAAATTTTGAAATGAAGTTATATAATTTTTTAGATGTGATGACAGTATTTTTGTATTTTTGGTATATGATGATTTTTATATCAAAAAATAGAAAATGACGACACATATTATGTATAAAAACGATGGAAATAATTTGTGTTTTCACACTCGCTTCAGATTGCTACCCGTCACGTCAAACTTCACAAGAATGGCTGTCAATTCTATGACCAAGTGGAAATGCAAAGATGTAGAGACTCCTGGAGAACCCGGTCGTATAAGAAAACGATTGTTTGTTGACTTAGAAAACGAAGACAAGACTTCACTTGAACAGTCTCCTCCTTCAAAGAAACCAAAGCTTGACGCTGACCAAGCAGAGCAGGAACCACTTCTGAGAGAAAATCTAGGCAGAAACTGGTATCTTGTCATTGCCGAGTTTCAAGGGGAAACAAAAGTTCACTTGAGAGTGTATGAAGAACGAGAAGAAGATGAGACCTTGTATCCTACGAAAAAGGGAATATCTCTTGATCTAGAAAAATGGAAAAAGCTGACAGAACTATACAGTGAAGAGATAGACGACGCCATTGAACGCCACGAGGCGGAAATGCCCGTCTCGTATAAAAAACATCTAGGAGAAAATTTCTATGTCACCGTCGAAACGGGGTTTTCCTTGGTCAACGTAAGGAAATGGTGGATGCCCCCAAATGAAAAAGACATAGTTCCGACCAGACGTGGAGCGGCGCTTACATTCGATGAATGGGAAGAATTGAAATGTTTAATACCACGCGTAGAAGAAAAGATTGGAGACCAGATAAGAAGCGTGGAGTATTGTGAAAATTCGGAGAGCCATCAAAATCAAATGGGATCCCTTCAATGCCCCAGGTGCAATCCCAACGAGTACACTAAAAATACTTACTAAAGAGGGAGATTGTTACACTTTTTTTTGAATGACTATGTATTCATATACTGTGTTCAAAAAACAAAAAGATTGTAAATATTGTTTTGTGTGACATAAATAATGAATATTATGTATGATAAATATTATTATATATGTGTGTATCATTTCTATTTTAATTTGATGTCAATTACATTTAAAAACGATTTTAATAAATTTTATATAATGTGTTAATTTTGATTTTTACATTCATATGTAAACATGAAGTTGACAAAAGAACAACAGACGTACTTGGAAAACATTTGGACTGATGTTAAAAAGGCAGCCTCATTTGCAGGTCCTTATAAACTTTATCAGATCGTTAAAAAAGAGGGGAAACATAAAATCGGCTTGAAAGCCATAAAACAATTTTTATCAGACTTGGAATCGTATTCTCTACAAAAGAGGGTTCGTAGGAAGTTTCCTCGAAGGCACATTTTTACCGATTCTGTTGACTCTATTTGGGATGGAGATTTACAAGATGTCAGAAACATATCCAAGGAAAACGATGGAGTTCAGTATATTCTGGTGTTACAAGATATCTTTTCTCGGTTTTTATTTACGGCTCCCTTAAAACAAAAGACGGCCACTAACGTGATAGATGCCTTAAAAGTCATATTTGCCAAAGGGAGAAAGCCAAAAGTGCTGAGAACCGATAAGGGTAGCGAATTTAAGAATAGATGGGTTTCTGCATTTTTAAAAAGAGAAAGTGTACATCAAATATTTACGGAAAATGAAACAAAAAGTAACTTTGCAGAGAGAAGCATACAGAATTTAGAAAGCAGATTACACAGAATGTTTGCTCATAAGCAATCTTACAAATACCTGAACGAATTACCATTCATCACAGAGAGCATTAACAATACGCCGTCCCGACCTTTGGGAGGATTTGCACCTGCAAACATCACTGAAAATAACGAAGATGAAGTTCGATATAGTGCTTATTTACAGAGAACTAAAATTGATAAGAAAACACAAGGTCCCATGAACGTCAAGTCTCCAAGTACCAAATATTCAAAAGAGAAATCATACAAGTTTAAGATTAACGATAAAGTGCGGATAACACATTTGCGCCGATTGTTTCAAAGAGAATACGATCAAAAGTGGACAGGAGAAATATTCAAAGTCAGCAGTAGATTCCGCAGTCAAGGCATTCCCGATTAAAAACTCAAAGATTTTGCAGACGAATCCATATCCGGTACCTTTTACTCTCAAGAACTGCAGAAAGTTAACAAGGACGACGATTCCATTTGGAAAATCGATAAGATTTTGAAGGAACGAAAGAGAAAGGGGGTAGCTGAAGTACTGGTATCATGGCACCAATGGTCAGCCAAATTTAATTCCTGGATCAAGAAGTCAGACCTGCAGGAGGTATAAATAAGACGGATTTTGCGAATAGATGATCATTTTTTTTAAAAATGAGCATAAGATTGGTTCTCAGATCTTCTGACAGTCACAACGTTTATCCCGGAAACACTCTGTATGACTTTAAAGTGCATATACCAAAACCGTTGTACTTTCAAGGCCACTAGACCGTTTCACTTTTGGAATTTTCTTTGCTCTCGGGTAATACCGAGCGCGAATTATACGTGTGTAGTAATCTGTGTCAAGACAGCATAGTGGGAGAGAGAGAGTTACCTCTCTTACGACGAGTGTTTTTAGAAAAGGCTGGGAACAATATATACACTAACCCTTGCGAAGTACCCCTTCGATTGGGCGAATTTCAAGACGTGAGGATCTATATAAGGAACTCTTCTAATCAAGCAGCTTCATTTTTAAAAGGCAGTGTAACCGTAACCCTCCTCTTGAAGAAACGCTTGTTTGAAATACAATGATGGGTTCAACCTACGTTTCAGATCCTAGGGTCTGGAAATCGTTTTACAGAAACATGATGTATGGTCAGTTTCGACCTGGAAAATATAGGGGTCGTCAAACGGGTGGTGGAATAGGAGGAATGTTTTCCAAGAAGCCGTACATGATTCCCGTCAACCCCCACTCAACAGAATCACCCGACAAAAAGGTCGTGGGGAAACACGTGACTCCCATGGCTGCCGTGGAAGAAAGAGCGAAATCGGAACTAAAAGAAGCCATCAAGGAAAAAATTCCTCACGTGTCAGAAAAGACTATTAAACCCGACAAACGACAGAAAACAATCAAACCTAAATCAGCTGTCAAGGCGACAACATCTAAGCGTGCAAAGAGAAAAAAACTTGAGGGAGAAGATTGGGAAGGTACTATATTCAAGAAACTGAAAAAATAAGGATGGTTTTTCTAAATGACAAGATTACCGACATCGGACTTCCAGCAGAATTAACCTTATTTACAGTCCCTCCCAATCAAGTAGCCGTAGAAAAAATTTATTATTCGGAATGCAGACCCGTAAGCTCCTTCGATTCCGAGGATGCTCCCATCGAAATTTCGGTACCCGGACAGGGAAACGAGTACATAGATTTAAGACGCAGTCGACTGTATGTAAAATGTAAACTCATTAAATCGGACGGTGCTGCTTTGGCCGCCCAGGAGAAGACCGGAATTATCAATGTACCTCTGCAATCAATGTGGTCACAGATCGACGTGTACATGAATGGAAAACTCGTTTCCCTCAACACCAGTTACTATCCCTGGAAAGCTTATCTGAAACTCCTTCTCTCCAGTGGAGGCGATGCCACACAATCGCAGTTACAGTCCCAATTAAATTATTTGGACGACGACGACATGGACAACCCCGACGCCTACGGTGGTTCTAACGGAGGACTAGCTAACCGATATTCCTTTACACAGCAGAGTCATATATTTGATATGGAAGGTCCCTTGTACGAGGACGTTTTTAGAATTGACAAATACCTGGTTAACGGTGTGGACCTGCACTTAAAATTGTTCAGGAATACCGCTCCCTTTATCCTTATGAGCAAAGAAGCAAGCCCAAGTTACAATTTACAGTTGTTAGATGTTTCATTTAAAGCTTGTATGATTAAAGTCGACATTGGGGTACTGATCAATCATGCCGAGATACTGAAGGAAAATACGACCAAGTATCCTCTGACTAGAACCGAAGTCATAATGAGTACCTGTCCAAAGGGATCTGGTTCCTTTATCTGGCAGAACGTATGGTCCAACAATCTACCTACCAAAGCTCTTTTCTGTTTCGTGTCACAGACGGCCGTAAACGGTAACTACGAGAAAAATCCCTTTAACTTTCAAAATCTGGCAGAAGAAATAGCTCTCTACGTCAATGGGGAAAGCTTACCCTCTAGACCCATGAAAATTGATACAGGAGTCAATCAAAACTACATCTCGCCTTTTGTCAATCTGTTTGAAGTGGCAGAGAAATGGAATAAAGATGCAAGTCTACAGATTAAAAGATTTATGTTTGGAAAAGGGTATGCCATTTATGCTTTTAGTCTGGCCCCTGACGATCTGGGTGAGGAGTATTTAAACCTGGTGAGACAAGGAAACGTAAGATTAGAAGTGAAGTTTGCAGCCGATACAGTCGAAACACTAAATTGCTTGGCTTATGCAGAGTTTCCGGCTCTCTTGGAAGTAGATCATTCACGCGACATCAAATACACCAAAGTATGAATGCCTCTGAAATTCGTTGCTTCATTAGGGATGACGAGCTGCTTTCCACATTCGTCAAAGGTGTATATTCACCAGATACACTACCAGCAAAACTTGATTTTTACCCATCAGCCTTTGTTTGTATCACGGAATCCTCTCATCTCCCGGGGAAACACTGGATCGCCTTTTGGATGGAAAGTCCGCAAAAAGAAGAATTTTTCGACAGCCTGGGCAAACCACCAGAGTATTATGATGAACGATTTAAGACTTTTTTAATGTTCAATTCAGAGAATACAATTTACTCAAACAAACCATTGCAGAAAAAAAGTGCCGGAACGTGTGGATACCATGTTTTATTTTTTTTACTGATGAGATGTCGCAAATTTAACCTACCATACATTGTACAATATGTTAGCATGAAGGATGATCCAGATTTATTCGTATATCGTCTTGTATCTGATTATACCAATTGTTTGTAAAGACTATATTAACATGTGTATTGTAAATAAAAAGATGATGTCATTTTCTTTTTGGTTTCATTTTACATTAAAATTAGAAGTTTCTTATATTCCTGATTCAGTCTTATTTGAGAAGTGATGATGGAGGATTGGTGGGAACGCAAATCGCTTTTACCCTTTCATTCCCCTGCTACAGCCATGATCGTTGGTCCCACCATGAGTGGTAAAACGTCTCTAGTTTACAAAATTCTTAAAGAAGCAGATGACATGTTTCAGAAACCACCAGAAAGAATAGTTATCGCTTACACAGAATATCAACCTTTGTTTGAGCACATGGAGAAAAATATCGATAATTTGATCTTGCATCAAGGGTTGCCTTCCAAAGAACAAATCGAGGAATGGAGTGACGGTGTGGAACACACCGTCTTGGTGTTAGACGATATGATGATGCAAGTTACCAAAAGTGAAGAATCCTTGAATTTGTATTGTGTGACGGCTCACCATCGCCGAGTGAGTGTATTCATGCTTGCTCAAAACCTGTACATGCCCGGAAAGTTTGCTAGAACCATCTCATTAAATTGTCATTATGTTATTCTCTTTCGAAATGTACGAGATTCCCGACAAGTATTAACTTTTGGATCTCAGGTGTTTCCATCAAAATTGAAATATTTTAAAGATGCCTACGATAAGGCTACTATGATTCCCTTTGGATATTTGGTTGTCGACATGAGTCCTGGGACGGAAGACAAGTACAGATTGCGCACGCATATTTTACCCAAAGAAGATACCACCGTCTACCTGCCTAAATAAATGTGATGTTAAATTACGAATTTGCATCATTTTCAAGATGAATCGCAGATTGAAAGCACATTTCTCGTTTTTAGACTTGTTGGGTATTGCAAGCGCTAAGCAGAGAAGGAGCTTATTGACAACCATGACGTTTGCTCAAATGCAAACACTTTGCGAAGTTATTTATAACGTGTTTAAGGGAACCATCCCAGTCACCAAAAAGTACATAAATAGTTTGCTACATCACAAAAACGCCATTCGTACTCTAACCAGTAGATCTGTGAGCAAGTCACGACGTAAAACGTTACTGTTGAAGCATCACAAGATCATACCTCATTTGATTAAACCAGCACTACTCTACTTTCAAAATGGCTCGAGAACTAGTACTCGTACCAAAAGAAAAATTCCAAACTCTACTGAAATCGGAGGAAAAGTCGAACAGTCTACAGGAGAAACCTCCTCTACCCAAGGACCCTCCCAGTGATGAAGACCCATCTACTCAATCTCGAATTCTAGAAATCTTGGAGCACACCATTCCAGTGAAATATCAAAACAAGGCGAAAGGATTAATTAAATTTTTATCACGATACGGAGGAGACGTGGTGTCCTGGAAAGGAAATGGAAATTTAATCTACAAGGGTGACGTCATTCATGGCTCTCACATCAGTGATCTTATAAAACATGCATTAAGTCCAAATGTTAAAGGAAATCCTATTGGATTTCAACAGTTTTATAAAGCACTGAAAGACATCGACACCCCCACGTCGTTCATTCACAACAAGAAAATGATGGATCATTCCGAGGTACAGAGTGGTGGTGGATATGTAGTAAAAATACAGACAGACGGTGCACCGCCGGGTTATCAACCTCCCAGGAAAAAAATGACTAAATCAAATATCAAGTGGCTAAAATTTTAATGCATATTGTTTATCAATACAAAGAAAAGTCTTTACATGAGGTTATAATGAATGAATTATATGATGTACAATGAAATTAAAAAAAATGTATTGTCAAACTGAAATCAACGATCTTGTTTTTAAAACTGAAGCAATTTGATATACATGTATCATCACATCAATAAAGTTGTTTTAAACAAAATAAAGTCTATAAATTTTGTGTCCAAAATAACATCAGTAAAGTTTTAGATATCAAAAAGAAGTGATTTAATGTGTTGAAAATAATGTACAAGGTATGTTTTAAGATAACATCTGAACGGTGAAACATAAGAAATACATTGTTTAAAAAAAAAACAACTAATTTTATAACATTAAATTTCAACAAAATATAATGGTTTTTTTCCAAATCATACAATGTTCACAAACACCAAAATACAAAAATATAATCATACACAAAATTACATTCTATTATAAAATGTATACATTTTAGTAACCATAAGGCAATGTGTCCCAAGTACCGTCTTGAATCACTCTTTTGTCGTAAACAAGTTTGTATTCTTTTTCTTCTCTGCGGAAAAGATGACTTGATTTTGCTTATTTCTAACAATCTTCTTAGGGTAGCTGATACTGATATTTGATGTTCTCGATTCGTTTTCATTCTGTGGTCCGGTTACCAATTCCAACATCGAAGTGAAATTAAGTTTTTTACTGTTGTCGTAATTGAGTGAAAATCCTCGAATTTCGCATGTTTCTTTTCCCTTTATTGTTCGGTAGGCATAGTTTTTAGGGCCTCCTGAGACAAATTCTGTGATGTATTCACCGGGATCTAATTCATTAGTAAGTTGTCCCAAAAACGATCCGACTTCAGGTTCTTCATCCCCCGGTCTGCTGACAAAGATGACTGAATCTGTATCGAAATACAAAACCCTTTCGCCCAACATCTGTAGAACTTCATACAATTTAAGTCCTACCACCGGAACCCCGGACCCAGGGGCCATGAAATTCTCAATTTTGGAAAAGGCATCAATGCTTATCATAAACATGCACTTAGTTTGTTTATATAATATCCAGGAGCAGAGGAGAAGATTTTCAAAGAATTAATGCATTTTCACTATATAATCAATAGAGCCCTGCCGTAACACCAGAACCCCTAAACCTGGGGCCATGAATTTCACAATTTTTGAAAAATCATCCTTGTGCACTATTATCATGCACTTAGTTTGTTTAAATAATACCCAGGAGAAGAGAAGAAGATTTTCAAAGAATTAATGCATTTTCAGTATGTAATCAATAGAGCCCCGCCCTTACACCAGAACCCCCGACCCTGGGGCCATGAATTTCACAATTTTGGAAAAGGCATCATTGCTTGTCATAACCATGCACTTAGTTTGTTTAAATAATACCCAGGAGAAGAGAAGAAGATTTTCAAAGAATTAATGCATTTTCAGTATGTAATCAATAGAGCCCCGCCCTTACACCAGAACCCCCGACCCTGGGGCCATGAATTTCACAATTTTGGAAAAGGCATCATTGCTTGTCATAACCATGCACTTAGTTTGTTTAAATAATACCCAGGAGAAGAGAAGAAGATTTTCAAAGAAATAATGCACTTTCACTATATGATCTATATAGCCCCTCCCTAGCACCAGAACCCCTGACCCTGGGGTCATGAATTTCACAATTTAGGTAGAGGACCCAATGCTTATTACAATCATGTAAACAGTTTGACTGCTTGATGTCCAGGAGTAAAGAAGAAGATTTTTAAAGATTGCATCAATTTTGGTGGTTTTAGCCCCACCCCTTGGGCCCCAGGGGGGCAGGGACCATGAAATTCACAATTTTTGTTCCCCTTCACCCAAAGATGCTATATGCCAAAATTGGTTGAAATTGGTTGAGCGGTTCTAGAGAAGAAGTTGAAAATGTTCAAAAGTTAACGCACGACGACAGACAAAAACGGATAGCAATAGGTCACCTGAGTGACTCAGGTGACCTAAAAGATATATCTAGGTTTCTTTTCCTTGCATTCTAAGGCTCTCATGTAAAACAAATGATCTACATTCACAAACTGCTTACAAGCCTGACATTGCCACTCTCCACAGAAATGATCTTCTGGTCTTCTTAGATGTCTGACTACAATTTTCTTACAAACTGTACATTTCCACCAACGATCACACTGAGATTCCTGAGTCCTCCCTCTTTGTAGTTTGTGTGATTTTAAACATTTCAAAGATCTGCAAGTCATGTGGCAACGTCGACAGCTTACTTCTTGACCAACGAAACAATTATCAGTTCTTTTACACACCATGCATGTGGATGCACAACTGTGCTTTTTTTGATATGGTTTCAAACATTTATGACAGAATTTGGATTGTGCAAATAGCCCGCAGATATTGGCAATGGCGTCAAAATGTGCATTTGCACCTCTTTCACTGTGATATAGAAATAGGCGTTGTCTACTATTTGTTTTTCCCTCTTCAGAATGTGCTATGGTGCGTATGAATTTGTTTCCGACAGTGGAACTGACGACCAGAATGTCCACGTTGAGCACATTCTCAAAAGCTGCAATGTCTAGAATCGATAAACGTCTCTCAGTACTTTTATTGGCTTTCTGACATAAGAGAGTGGCAAGGCTTTTTTGACATTCTTCACCCTTTTCTGTTCTAGTCGTTAGTTGTTTGTAATACCATGTTGGACATTTTCTTAATTCCATCACTCTTTCTTCCATTGTTTTTCCATCATTAGGGTCAATCAATGGTCGCCAATCTGCAGTAGGAATGTGGCATAATTTTAAGAACCCCATACAGATACTGCGGGCAAGGCATAATTCGTCCGATTTCCAAATTTTGATGCAAGACTTTTTAGTTGCCATAGAGTCTTT